AAGTTAGTAACACTATCAACATGTCAACAACAGAAACTAAAATCACCGGAGGCTGCTGTGCAAGTCCTAGATGTTAGGGACCAACACATCACTGTCATGTTAGCTTCCAGTTGGGAAGCTCATCCAGTCAGATTAACTGAACTGAAAGGAATGATAGAAAGTTCTCCTTCGGGTCAAGAACTCCTACTTACGCTCGCACAAGCACCCTTTCCTGTGGCTTCACTGCTCTGTAGTTAAGTGTACTTTTCCTTCCAGAACTCAATTACCTCTGGGGCAGAAGCATTTGCCTGGCTTATCCCCTCATCTTCAAAGCCTAGCATCTGTGCAGAGAAGCACTCAGCAAGTTCCTAGGTAAAAGCTACTTTTACACAATTAAGGGCCTGTAAACCAGGAAGCCTCAGTAGAAATCAGAGTTTAAAATCAATTCCATCTTCTCATCTTTACAGTCTTCATGGGAAATCTTCTTACCTATTGTCATTTCTTCAGCAAGACTATCTTTCCCTCCAACACATCTCTCTTCCTGAGCCACAGGTAAGTAACCTGAAGACATACTGATACTCTACATATACTACAAACACACTGTTTCTCACAAATACTAGCTTCCTGCACTTACCAATTCACCTAACAGTATCCTCTTCTATCTGAAGTTTTACTGTTTTCCCACTGTAACACTACTTCAATTCTTTCCACCCCTACCCAAAGTAACTACCTAATCTAGGCCTCTTCCTTTTGCTGGAATGACTACCACTGTGTGCAACGAGATATCTACTGACCCCATTTCTTTGTCTTGTCCAATCTCCTTAGTAGTACTAGCTAATCTCTAGAAACACACTCATTACTCACGCGCTTAACTCTAAGTCCGAATCCCACAACAGAAGTTAAAGCTCTGAAGTGCTCCCTTGCTGCCTCCGCTCACTGTTGTGCTCTGTGTTCTTCGCTCTCTGCCCCTTGCTACCCGATCCTACTAGCAAGCCCAAGCTACTTTTCTCCTAGATCTTGAAATCTTGACCTCTGAGGTCTCATTCCTAACAAAACTAGGGATGTGACCGATGTACAGTGTTTCTCCCATTCCTCTGTTCACCTAACTGGATACAGCTGCAGTATGTCCTGTCACCTGGGGCTTTTCATATTAACTGTCAGGTGCTTTGGTTTCTATAGCAGTGTAAAAATCCCTGGGGTTGGATACGATCATGTAAAAAGATGATGGCTCCAACTCTCGGAGCCACTCTCTGTTTCCAGAAGCAGAATTCACACAGGTTTCTTGTGCATCTGAAACAGCACAAATAGAAATATACCAAGAGCCAGGTGGTGCAGGAAAATTATCTGTATTCTGTCCATCATGTATTTTAATAAAACGCTGATTAGCCAGGCAGGAAGTATAGGTGGGAAAACCAGACAGGAAGTAGAGGTGGAAAAAAAGAGAACAGGAGTATTCTGGGAAGCAGGAAGCTCCTGTTCCCATTCCAGACCACCAAGAAGCAAAATGTAACCTGCCCGGCTGAAAGGTACCAAGCCATGTGGCTAACATAGATAAGAGTAATGGGTTAATATAAGCTACAAGAGCTAATAAGAAGACGGAGCTAATGGGCCAATCAGTTTTATAACCTATGGAGATCTCTGTGTGGTTTTCTTTGGGGCTTACTGGCTGTGGGATATTGGGCGGGACAGAAACCACAACAAGCAGGCCCTAATGTTACAGCCAGGTATGAAATTTTTAATTTTTCAGTAGCCATATTTAAAAGGTAAAATGAAATAGATATTAATAATATACTTTATCTAGTATATCCAAAATATTATCATTTCCTTATATATTTAACACAAAATATAACCAGTTTGTTTTAAACTTATGTTTTTAAAACTTAGTGTACATCTTATACCATATTTCAATTAGTTCTTAAAAATTCATTATGACATATTTATGCTTCATAAACTTACAGGTGAAAATACAACATACTCGACTTAATCATAATTCTTAACTTTCCAACAAATAAACTTAAGTAAAATTTAAAATTTAAGTTGGGGGCCAAAAGATAGCTCAGTGGGTAAAAGCGCCCACTGAGAGAGCCTGATCACTTGAGTTCAGATCCATGCTGAATGAGATTATCCTCTGACCTCCACATGTGTGCTGTGATGTGCACACCCCCACACAATCATCTGGACATATACAGAAAATAAGTAACAGACTTCAGTGAATCTTATTTTCTCCTTTACTGTTTTCCAAATCCATGAAGTATTTAAAAACAAAGGAGATGACTATAAGAAGCAAATATACACTGATGACATTTCTTACTGATATGCTGCTAAGAAAAAAAAAAAAAAAAAAAAAAAACAGCCATCCAAACAAGTTTGTCTTTGTTGGCAGCAAAGCACACACAATTCTCCAACAGGATGTTGTGCTGAGGTAGCAGACTTAGCTGCTATTTAATGTTGATGAAGCAGTAGACAATGACCTGGTCCCCTGCCATTCACAATTACAAATCTCCTTTCCAAGGGACTTGAATGTTAACTCTATCATCAGCATTCAGAGAATAACCAAAGACACTTTGTTCTAACATTTCTAGAGATTACAAGCTAATAGTGGGGCTGAGGATGGTCAGTGGTTAGATACTTACTGCTCCTTCTAGAGCACCTAGAGCCTGCTTCCCAGAACCATTTCAGGTGACTCACAACAATCTGTGAACTCTTGCTCCAGGAGATCCAACACCCTCTCTGCCCTCCCTGCCATAATTTGTTTTCTTTTCTGTCCACAGAGTATCTCTTTTGTTTTACGAGACTATTTTGAAACAACAACAACAACAAAATGTTCATACTACTTAAGGAAAAGATTTATAAACGGTCACTTCAAGCTTTCTAGAATACCACATGTAACAATTCATTAGCAAGTTTGCTTGAGAACTCTAGACCACAGCTGCTTAGATAATCTATTAATTCTACACTGAATATGTAGTTATTAGTCTTAAAATGAGATTTCCTAGAGCTGTCTTAAAAACCTTCACAAAAAAAAAAAAACCCATAGGACAGTAATAGAGGCAAAAACCTGGTGTGTTAACTTCTGGTTAACACATATGGATGAGCATACCTCCACATACACATCACCCGCTCCAACACACACATAGCAACTTGTTTCTCTCTACTTCTTCACATACCATACTCTAATCAAATTAAAAAGTGTAAGAAACACAGGCACACTTGAAAAATATGCTCTAGTCTATAAGAAGTCATGTCTGGTCAAAACTGCAACTTGTTTTCCAAAGCCTTTAGTAACTTTTTAAGGCGATTGCAAGATTCCAATCAAAAATTGGCTCTCAACTCAGGTTTGTTTTTGTTTTGTTTTGTGGTTTTTCTAGACAGAGTTTCTCTGTATAACAGTCCTAGCTGTCCTGGAATCTGCTTTGTAGCCCAGGCTGACCTTGAACTCACAGAGATCAGCCAGTCTCTGCCTTCCATAAGTCAAATTAAAGATTATCCTTTTCCAAGGCCCCCCGAGGTACATGTCCATATGCACACATGGTACTTGAACACACAGACACCATGAATGGCCTGCACAGAGATTTAAATTCAGCTAAGATGTACTTCTTGCCCAGCATTTCCTTTTAGTCTGCCATTGCCCTTTGGAATGAAAAATAATGTAAGGCATAAAAACACCCGGTTCCTTTTCAAGATAAAGTGCCACCCCCAGGAAAGCACAAGTCTGCGTCTCCATTTGCGGTGATGGCACTAACATGAAAATGATGTGTACAGCAGAATACTGCAGGCACTAGGCTCATGTGACTGCCAGTCACTAGGTTGACAACAACATCTACCAATTTCCTTTTGTCTTTAAACTTACAGCAACAGAAAATTCTAACAAGATCACATTCCTTCCTGTTTGATTTTATTCTTAAAATTGCTAGCAAGTCAACACATCTTACTTAAATGATTTTTCATTAAAAATATATTAACAAAGCTTTACAAAAGAAAAGTTTGCTGACAAGCGAAGCAACAGTTTTCCTTCCCCAACACTCTATGTGTATATATTCTGAGTATATACTCATCAATACTAGCCATGACACTGGCATCTAACAAGGTCTCTGAAAACAAACGTACAAAATAAATTACTTTGTTTTTTAAAACAGGGTTTCTCTGTGTAACAGCCCTAGCTGTCCTGGAACTAGCTCTTGTAGGCCAAGCTGGCCTCGAACTCACAGAAAATCTGCTACCTCTGCCTCTGAGTGCTGGGATTAAAGGCATGAGCCACCACCGCCCGGTTCAAACTAAATTATTTTATCTGTGTGTCTGTGTGTGTGCTCATGTGCATGCAAGTGCCTGCAGAGGACAAAAGAGGGCACAGCATCCTCTCGAGCTGAAGTTACAAATGGTTGAGAGCTGTCCCATGTGGGTGCTGGGAATCAAAGTCCAGTCTTCTGGAAAAAAAAAAACAGTCATTCTTAACCACTGAGCTGTTTCCACGGCCCCATTTGCATTAAAAATAAATGAAAGAAAATCTGGGGCTGGAGAGATGGCTCAGTGGTTAAGAGCATTGCCTGCTCTTCCAAAGGTCCTGAATTCAATTCCTGGCAACCACATGGTGGCTCACAACCATCTGTAATGAGGTCTGGTGCCCTCTTCTGGCCTGCAGACATACAGACAGAATATTGTATACATAATAAATAAATATTAAAAAAAAAAACAGAAAATCTGGAATACTTAAAGATATCTAAATAAATATAATTAACAAAACTTAAAATCACAATTGCATGACTAGAAAAATGATACATTAGCTACCTAGAACATTCCCCTTTTTAAATATGAAATACAAATACAATGGGCAAAAATAAATTCAAGACAATATAAAAGATTAAAGGCAAAAAAACGCAGAAATCCATCACTCAAGTGTAACTTCTGCTGATATCTTAAATGACAAAATAATCACAGTTGATTCAGGTGACCTTTTACACAGAACAGATGGCTTTCAGTTTGCCTTTTAGAATTTCATAGCAAAACTCCTAAAGTTCCTTCCATAACATCGGCAACAGCAGCAGGACTTCTAGGGCAGACATCAAGGTGCTATCTATCTGTGAGACAGCAATTTGACAGGTCTGCTCTTGGGGTATTTTATTTTGTTTTACACTTTCTAAGATACAAAAATTAGGGCACCCTAACCAAAAAAAAATCATTACAACACTTGCCTCTGTGGGACTTCCTAACAGCTGACTATGCACCAGTGAGCCACCCGCTGTCTGCTTTACTAAGAACACCATTTACTCACAACATGGTGTCTCTTAAAAAAAAAGCTAGTCTCGGATCTAGAGATATAGCTCAGTGGTTAGAGTACTTACTAACCTTGAAGAGGACCTGGGTTGGTTTCCTGGCACCCATACAGATCTGTAGGCAGGCATGTGTCATACACACATGCAGGTAAAACACTCATACACATAAAATAAAATATATCTAAACAAAACATAATACTATTCCTAAGCTTGATGGTCCACAACTAAGCCCAGCAGTAGGAAGTAGGGATAGGAAGATCACAATTAGGAGGAGACCATCTGTAGCTATACAGTGAAAACCTGGTCTCACAAAAGATAAAAATAAAACAAAAACCCACAAAATACACAGCTGGTGTTCAACAAATATTTATGTAATTAATTTATGAATGAATTATTAAATAAATCTGAAACCAGCTTATGCTGATTATTTTCCTCTTCCTTTCCAAATATAAAAATCATTAAAATATGTAACAAATGTATGAAAAAAAAACCTAGCAGTTCTTTTAAAGCCTTTGGTTCAGGTAATGTGTTTAAACTTTTGCTTCCTGGTAGGCATGGTGGAGCATACTGATAATCCCAGAACTCAACAGATTGTAAATTCCAAAAACAAACAAAAAAACTGTTTCTATGATAGACTCAAACTTTTCTGAAATACTAGGAAGAGAGTTCAGATTCTATTTCAACACTGTCTCATTATATACATCACCAGAAAGCTCCTTAAGACAATCTCACAGTTCTTAATGTAAAACCACCAAATCCTCAATGTACAGGCTAGCACCATCAATCAGATACAAACCACAATCCTATAGCTTTTACATTCATATGCTCACTTTGAAAGAAAGAGGGGGGAGAGGAGGGGAGGGGGGGAGGGGAGGGGAGGGGAGGGAAGGGGAGGAGAGGAAGCAGGAGAAAGTTTACAGGAGAAAGTTTACTGTAGATAAAAGGGAGCGCTTAGCCAGAGGCAGGGACATCTGGAAGAATCCCAGAGTGAACATTACCTTGAGGCAGGCCATTTGAGGAAAGGTGGTAAGGTAAAGGAGAGAGAAGAGGGACAGCCTGGGCCAAGAGACTGGTCAAGCGCCAGGTAACCAAAAGAGCTGGATGATATAGGGAAGGACAGTTGGGGTGAGGGTGGCCCAGCCTCTGAGCTGGAGAAGTTTAGGGTAGGGCAGGTGTGCCAGCTATACTCTGTAGTAGGTAAGGACTAAGGGGTGCAGGGAAAATCTGAGGGCCAGCATGTGTGCTGAGAGGTCAATGGCACCTCAGTTAGTCTTTTGACCTGGGTTTGAAGCCTAACATGCTTAAGTTTTACTTTCTCAGTAAATACTAAAACACAGTTTAGCTATTTTTTTTAATAAAAAAAAGTCAAAAATAAAACAAAAAATATCACAAAAATATCTTAGTGCTGTCTGCATGACTTGAATTCCATTACAAAAAGTATATATATATATATATATATATATATATATATATATATAAAACAAGAATACAGAAAGCCTTTACATAGTATATTTTGTCAATTGCCCATTATTTTAAAAGTTGATATTACTTAGTGTTCATCAAAACTGTATGTGCTAGTTAGTTTTTGTCAACTGAATACAAACTAAAGTCATCAGGGAAGAAGAACCTCAACTGAGAACAGCCCTCTATTAGATTGGCCTGTAAGCAAGTCTATAGGGCATTTTCTGAATTAATAATTGATGTGGGTGGGCCCAGCTCAGTGTGTGTGGTGCCACCCCAGGGCATGAGGTTCTGGGGTGTATAAGAAAGCAGGATGAACCAGATGTGATGGCTTTAGTCCTAGCACTCAGGCAGCTGGCAAGTCACCTCTGTGATTTCAAGGCCAGCCTGGTCTACAAAGTGAATTCCAGGAAATCCTGTCCAGAAACAAACAAACAACAAAACAAACAAATGGGGAAAAAAAAACATAAAGGAAAAGAAAAGAAGGAAGGGAGAGAGAGAGAGAGAGAGAGAGAGAGAGAGAGAGCCCGCCAGCGTGCTGTGCCATAGGGAGCAAGAAAAGCCAGTAAGCAGTATTCCTTCATGGCCTTTGTTTAAATTCTCTGCCTCAAGCTCCTGCCCTGACTCCCTCGGTGATGGACTGTTACCTGGAACTGTAAGATGAAATAACCCTTCGCTCCACACATTCCTTTTGGTCACAGTGTTTATCACAGGAAAGTGTCTAGGACACTGTATGGATATCACTATTTAACCCCATTATACAGATTGGAAAATGTGGCTGAGAAAAGTTCAGCTACTTGCCCAAGGACAGAAAACTGGAAAATGACCCATCCAGACTTGGAACTTGGGCCACATGACTTCAGATTCTGTATCTTCCATCTTCCACACTCTATACTACCTGCAACACCTTACTGAAGGATGAACAGTTTATAAAGCTATGAATTTAATATAAAAATTAACAACCAGTGATTAGAAAAGTTAAGTGTCATAAGTTATAAGAAGTAAACAATATCACATTAAAAATTCTTCAGAAAATCATATAGACCATAAAAAGCAGAAATATTTCAGCTAAGAAATAAAACAACCATCCTGCTAGAGTATGCCTTATTGACAGAAGAAAAACAAGCAGCTTTAGTTATTTTATTTACTAGGTTTTTTTAAATGTTCGTTCATTCATTCACTCTCTCATTTGAAAAATGTCCACTACCTCATTGCTTGAATTTAAGAATGAAGTAACAGACCCAAGGTCTACCCTTGAGAAAACTTGCAAACAGAGATCTTCCCATACTTCACATAGTAAGTTTCCAAGTGTGTTCACCATTCTTATAAAATATAAAACCTGACAAACACAATGTGACAATAATATGTTAGAAAATAACAAGCAGAGCCTGGCATAGAGGCACATGCCTGTAATCTAAGCTACTCAAAAAGCTGAGGCAGGAGGATTATCACAAGTTCTAGGCCAGCCTGGGCAACTTAGCAAAATAAAAAGGAGAGCAAGTGGCGTAGCTTCTGGGAACTACACTTGTCTGACATGTTCTTGGAACTATAAAAATGAATTAATTCTAACTTAGAAACTACACATTTAAAAAAGTTTTTGCTTAATAGTCTCTTTTGAAGATCTCAAAGAGAAATGTATAAAGTCTTAAATTTTTCCTTTCAATAAATCAAAACCAATAAATAACAATTAATGTTACCAAACATTTACTCTGAGGCTAATCTGACTTACTTTACTTGTCAACTGGCTCAAAACTCCAGGCATGTATTCCTCTTTATGAGGAAGTTACAGAAGCATTCCAAAGTCCAGCTGTTAGTCACAACCTGCACTGCCCCACCAAACAGAACTATCACAAGTCACTCCTAACACCGTGCTAAGAATATGTTGTCACCACAGTGCTTTTCTCTCCCTGTGGGCACAGAGAGATACTCCAGAGACCTTAGCACCATATCGTTTCACATTAGCTACGTCTGTCTTTAGTAAAGACTTGAGAAGATTTTAATTTTTCTGTTAAACATGTCTGACACAGTATAGGTGATAATACATTAAGTAATTAACCAACGATCTCTCCCTAAGCATGGCAATGAAACAGGCCAGTTCATATCTCAAATATTTTCTCCTGTGCCCAGAAGCACATTCTCACTTCCCATATTCATCAAAATACACTTTTATTTTAGTCTGGAAAATATGACTGATATGCCTGTGTCAGTGCCATGACTTCCCCATTCAACTTGTTTCTAGTCTCTAGCTAGCTTTGGTAAGCAAAACTAAAAGATTATCACTACACAAGTGTGTTCTGCTGGCACCTTTTTTTTTTTCAGTTTGATGTATTTCTCTTTTTTTATTGTTTTTATTGAGCTATATATTTTTCACTGCTCCCCTCCCCTTCTACACTTTTCTATGGTCCCCATGCTCCCAATTTACTCAAGAGATCTTGTCCTTTCCCACTTTCCATGTAGCTTAGATCCATGTATATTTTTCTTAAGGTCCTCTTTGACTGCTGGCACCTTAACATGGAGTCATCCAACAAAGTTGAGGCACTAGTTAGTTCTTAGTAAAAGGACAGAAATAATCCTCAAGATTAATTCTCATGGTTCCTCAGTATCACAAAGAACACTTGAAAGAATCACTGAGAAATTATAAAATTAACTACCAAGACAGACTCACCAATTTCTTTTTAAAATGAGCTTCAAACACATTTCTGACAACATGCAATCTGACCCTCTCTCGCACAGATGGACACAGGAACCCCTCCCAGCACCAGCAGCTCAATCAGTCTGCCAGATGGGGAGGTACCTTGCAGCATGTCTGGCGATTAAGAGTTTCTAAAATGTGCAAAGACTGCAGCCTGGAAATAAGACCAGACTAAGCTAATGTCAGGCAGAGCCCACCTAACCAAAAGCCAGGACTCCATCAGGCAAGTGTTAATCCTTATAGTGTATTGTTTTTCTCCAAAGTAACATTAAATATGTGGTGAACATATTACAAACTAACTAAATATACTAATATATAAGTGTGTGTGTGTGTGTGTGTGTGTGTGTGTGTGTGTGTGTGTATCTCTGTGTGGGAGAGGGAGAGAGAGAGATGCTTCAGGTTAAGAGCACTGGCAATTCCCAGCGCCCACATAGCAGTTCACAACTGTTAACTCCAGTCAGGGGATGTAATGTCCCCTATGGACTTCAAGGGCACTCTGTACATACAGGACACAGACATTAATGCAGGCAGACAAAAAAATAACATAAATAATTCTTAAAAATAAGTTTCTATGCACATTATTTTTGCTACTGTTGGAAAGAATGGACTAAAACTCATGAAACTCTGAGTTCTTTGGGGCAGAAACTCTAGACAAGACAGAATTTTATCTACCACGTTTAA